AGACCTATAGACGAGACTATAGACTAGACTATAGACTAGACTAGAGACTAGACTATAAGCGTAGACTATAGACTAGACTATAGACTAGACTATTAGACTAGACCTATAGACTAGACTATAGACTAGACTATAGACTAGACTAGAGACGAGACTATAGACTAGACTATAGACCTAGACTATAGACTAGACTATAGACTAGACTATAGACCTAGACATAGACTAGACTATAGACTAGACTATAGACTAACTATAGACTAGACTAGACTAGACATAGACTATGACTAACTAACTATAGACGAGACGATAGACTAGACTATAGACCAACGAGAGACTAGACTATAGACTAGACTATGACGAGACTATACTAGACTATGACAGACTATAACTAGACTATAGTCTAGACTACACTGTAGACAAGAACAAAGACTAGTAACTACAGACGATACTACAGACTAGACTATAGACTCGCCGGAGATATACATATTCCAATAAGCAAGGTAAATGCCGTTTTTTATCCATATGTCAGCAATTTGATCTGACAATCAAATAATGTCTGAATGTTAATCCTAAAGCATCTTGGATCTATAGAATTACGACTATTGATCTGATACACAGTCAAAGGAAAATTATTAAATGAATTCCCTCAACTATTAGTAATCCGAATATGGTAACAAATTAAAAAGCTTTTACTAGTCGACCATAACTCTATCTGTATTACTTTCTAACTTGGTTGCTTTACTTCTTTGTATGACAGCTTAAAATAATATTCATTCTTACGTTAGTTTTTATATGAACATTGTTTTTTTTTTCTTCTTTTTGTTCGTTAGTTCTTTTGTAAAAGGAAAGTAGATTTGGGGGTAGAAAGGTGGGTATGGCTGTTAATGATTAGAATTTAGTAACATTTTCTTAAGCTTTAAATATTTTAAAATTAAAATTATTGCAAACGACTACTTTAAACTAAATTTAAGGACACTTTAACGTTCATTTATATTTCGATAAAAAATACACTCACAAAGTTGTGAGGTAAATCGTTAATGGTTTTAGAATGCTATTTGTTATAGACCTATGTAAATATAATACAAGTGAAATCTTTAAGGCTGAAATATTCTTCCGGAATAAGTGATATAAAATTCTCTTCTAGGGAAAGGGAAACTAAGTCTAATTACTTTGACAACGGATGATGAAATTAGAAGTGGTGGGTTTTAAGACCTAAGCAACTCGACAGATGTAAAAGGCACAACAATTGAATAAATCCAGGGGCCAAATAATCTCGAACGTAATCGTATAAGCATTCATATCGAAAACACATTTCGATATGGAAATCATGCTGAAGTGTACTAGATTTCTTGTTCAAAAAATTACGATTTTTTAACTCGATCACAGATTTCTTGAACTGGATATTGCTCAATGCTATGATTAAGAAGAATTTGAGCAAAATTGTTTGCTTATTCAGCTCACCTGGAGAAAAACTTCTGCTTTTGGCGGCTGAGAATGTGTTCGTTTCGTAACGAACATCGAGATGGTTATCTTTTATCACCAGCTTGATATCGAGGTTGACTTACTTACTTATTAGCGATCAGTGGACTGTTGTTGTAACAGATTGGCTGTGACTGGAAAAAACATCCGGTTGATACAGCTGTTGCTGAGTTGACAATCTTTGGCCGATTGAGAATCGGGTCGTTTCGGAGCGGAAATGCAATTGTCGTGGGAACGATCAGTGGACTAATCAATCATTGTATTGTATATATAAATTTTGGTTCATAAATAGGTTTAAAGGAATATATTACGAAATTGATGTGGACATTTTGGCCATTCAGATTGAAAAATATCCCTTAATATTTCTGTTGGAAATTTACACAATATTCTGGGGCTAGGAGAAATATATAGGGACTATTTATAATGACGCATAAAGTTAGGTCTAGTGTTGTAATGGACTGTGTGTCATCATTGAATGTATAATACTTGGACATAAAGTTCACTCTGTATATGGAGTGTTGACTTCCTGGAAAATTTTCTCAGTCTTTCAGACACAAATTTAAGCAATCTGTATTAGAGAGTGTGTAAAGCGTCACACAAGGGAAAATAGGGCGCTAATCGCCTATTTATCGAATTCGAACCTTTCTCTTATTATTGAACAATGATATATTATTGAAAGGTTTGTCTCGTATGTCCAATTTGCTCGTAAGGGGCAACTTTATCAGTGGCCGTCTTACCGAATACGTGATCGAATAATCATCATTCGTATAGAAAACTAGTTAGAGTGTTATATTCGGCTATGCCGAATCTTAAATACCCTCCACCAGCAAGCTACTTTTCATTAAAACCCGTTTAACTATCTAATTTGTAGCTTGACAAAATTTTTTTCCGTAGTGAGGGTACTAACATTTATGCATATGGGGAACTAATTTTGATTAGGTTCATAAAATTTTATATTAATAAGCCAGTTGCAAACATTTTAATGATTTATCTATACACAAACATACTCATGTTGAATTTTATCTGGATATAATCATTAATAATGAATTAATGGGCATTAAGTGATTTTCAGAAGTAAAATTCCGTATAACGATTTATATATACAAAATACCCATTTATGTCGAATTTTATCCCGATGACTTTGATTGTCAATGTGCGTTTAAGTAATTTTCGGAAATGATTCTTATATGGGAGTTGTGACCAATTATGGACCGATCAAGAAAAAATTTCGTATAATGATTTATATTCAAAAAAAATTAAAGTCGAATATTACTCTAATAGATTTATTAATTAATAAAACATGTGCGTTTAAGTGATTTTCGGAAGTTGACCAATTAAATATGTGCGTTTAAGTGATTTTTGGAAGTGGGCCTTATATGGGAACTACGACTAATAATGGACCGATCTGAAAAGAAATTTAGTAGAATGATTTGTATGTACATAAAACATATTCAGCTCGAATTTTATCACAAAAGCTTTATTTATCAATGAAATATGTGCGCTTAGGTGATTTTTGGAAGTGGACCTTATATGGGAGCAATGACCAATTGTGGACCGACTAAGATCTACGTTGGTAGTATGATTTCTATTCATATTATATTTGTACGAACAAAATTTTGTGTTGATACCGATATATTTGAAGGAGTTATTTACGATAAACTAATTTCCGGGAATATACACCTTTGTATGGGGGCTATGGGAAATATTGGATCAATTGTTATGAGTTTGAACATACTTGATCCCAGGCACAATACCGAACTGTACCGGATAATAAAGAATGTTTTGGGTGAATTTCGTGAATTTCTATTGCTTCGTTTTAACGTGAGCGTGTTTTACACAGACAGACGGACGGACAGACGGACATAGCTAAATCGACTCAGAATTTCATAAGGATCAAGAATATATATACTTTGTTGGGTCTCAGATTAATATTTCATGATGTTACACACGGAATGTCAAAGTTATATATACCCTCTATCACCACTGATGGTGGTGAAGGGTATAAAAACATCGTTGTCGAAATGAATGAAAAATTATGATAAATTTTACTTGACAGTCGAAACGTTTATAGCTTAAAAAAGTGAACTTAGAATACGAACGGTATTACTGAGGGGACACTGTGCTCTTAGATAGCACATCTTCACGCGTAAACTTAACATTTTACGGGGAAACAACAGGCTGCACAAAAACTTCATATAGGGGTCGTAATATCCCTTTCTAATTTAATCTATTTCAATATTTGCCTTTACGTTTGTACAAGTGGTTTAATGTTTAAATAAAAACACAGTTTAGTTCTTTTTTTAATATGAATATTTCAAATATTACTTTTTATTGGTTTTATTTAGGCGGTGATATTAATTGTTTTTTTAAATTTTCTTATTAATGTTTTTCATTTCAACACGTATTACAATTATGTTTAGTTTTCTTAAGTTGTTTTTGTTTTTTAATTTTTATCGATATTTTTAGTTTAGGTCTATAAAAATTTAACTTTTTTTGTCAAACATTATCAAATAGAATTAAAAAAGAATTTTAAGTTATGAAAAATATCATTTATTGAACTGTATACTGACGATGAGTATGTATAGAAAGTACATACAAATCTATGTACTTTTGAGTGTAAATATAGTTAAATAAAATATTTTGATTGTTAAATAATAAAAGAAAAATTATGGTGAAGTATGAATAAAAAAATAAAGAATTTTTACATTATTTAAATTACAGTTAAAGGGGGAATAAAATCTTTAAATTACCAGTTGAGTTATAAAAATAATTGTTATTTGATCTTAGAATTTAAAATTATTTTTAATAATTGAAAACACGAATTCAAGATAACATACAACAAATTGTTGTTGCATTTTTACTAATTACTTTTACTATTTATAAAACTATAAAAAAATCATATTAAATACTAGCTGTAGGTAAAATTGCTGGTAAATATGGTGATTTTTTTTTTTTGATTCGTTGTTTTAAGTGTGTGTATGTGTGGTTTTTGTTTAATAATATTTAGTAAACAAAACTTAACAACACTGTAGTTAAATTAAAAGAAATAAAGCTTAACATTTTACAATAGATTTATAAAAAAAATTTATACAAAAAAATCTAATAGCTATAGCTAAATGTTGTTGTTATTGTATTTTAATTATGCTTATAAAACTTATAAATTAAACAAATTACATTTATATTTAAATTTTGTAGTAAATTTTCTTTAAATTTTGAATTTAATAATCATAATACTTGTTTGTGACATAAAAAAATATTCTTTAATTTATCAATGTTAAAAAAAATGTAAAATGTATTTAGTGTAAAGTGTTGTCTTATTTAAAATAAAACTTTTCTTTTGGAATAATTTTATTTAACTTCTACTTTTAAGCTTTGCTAGCTTTTTTCAAGTTTTCTTTCTAACTTGGGTTTGTTGTAAACGATAAATTTAACTGCTTTTTATGTTTTATTTTCAATTGTAATTTTAATTAATAAAATATAAAAACTATAAAAAATTCTTGTTGCTGTTATTTTTCTTGTTGTTGTTGTTGTTGTTGATTTTGCATATAATCAGTCTTTCTTTTTATAAAATTTTTACTTGTTTTTAATAAACTGCTTTTTTAATTATGGGATTAAGATTTCGACTTGTCAAGAAGATTTTAAAAGATCTCGATAATTCTCAAAGATGTTTACAAATTAAATTCTTTAAAAAATTAAAAAAAAATTTCAAAACCTAGAGACCAATTTATAGGATTGAGCTGCCTTGAATCAGCTCAATGAATATGTTATCTCGTAGAAGATAACATTTATTTTGAAAACTACTGAAAAACGGGTTAGTTCAAACTTTAGGACACAATATCTGGAAAATATGGTGTGATGGAGAAATTTTGAATTTATTTTGGAGATCAATCCTTTGGTCTCTGTGTAATTTTTAAATTTATAAAGACTTTTAAAAACTTTTCGAAAATTCTTTTTCTTTTCGAAAATTTTTTAAATTTATTAAAATATTCTTTAAATCAAACGGATACAGGGAAATATAATTTAAGTTTAATTTGAGACCAAATTCTTCTTTCTTGCAATTTCGAATAAAACAAAACTGTATTAATATGTGTATGGAAGTATTCGTTAGCATTGCACAACTCTTAAAACGATTTTGCCCATTATTCGTTCAAGATTAGATTAATATCAGTATTTAGCTTTCAATCTTAGCCGAACTAGTTAAAATTTAAAATCATTTTTTTAACCATAAAATAACAATTTAACTTTTTGCTTGCTAAGATCTTTAAAAATCTCCTTTTTTCTGTTTTAAGAAATTATTTAAAAAACTACGAAATTATTTTAATGTTTGACACGGTGTTTTTTTTATAAATGTTTAAATTATAATAAATTATTATAAAATTTTACACTAATAATATACTATTTACAACAATATTTTGAAAAAAAATATACAAGTTTCACAAATTTTAAAAATTTTTGTTTAGTTCGTTTTTTTGAAAATAAAAACTTAATAAAATTTTGAATAAAAATATGGTTTTTTGTTAATTTTGCTTTATAATTTATTATCTTAAGCTTTTTACATAGAATATTTCTTTAATATTTTTGAAATTTATTATTTTTGCATTTTTACAACATTTTCAAATTATACACAAATTTATTTGATAAATTTTTATTTAGTTAAACAGCTTACAACGAGTGTTTTTAACAGTTTTAGGAATTAATTATTAATTAATTTATTTCATTTCGAAATGATCTCAATAATAGAACTTTTTGATTTACTATAAATATTATTCATAGTTATTTAGATAAATATTTGAATAATATGAAAGTTCTTCCCTGTGAATTGGGAATCGTTTGATTCCAGATTAGAAATCTAATTGGGTACTGAATTCATGGGTATAACTAATGCAACATTATTGGAGTACATGATCCGTTTTGTAGTCCTATGTAATGCAGGCATGGATTATATTTATTTTTTTGGAAAACAACGTGATTCATAACCTACATTACATATGACCATGTTGCGAATCATGTACTGTCATAATTTTAGCAAGAGATTAGTTTTGGGATTAGTCCCATGTAATTAATATTTATTACGTGGTCCTCACCTAGGACATCCCAATGTTAAATGAAGTTAATATTTCCATATATTTGGATTAGTTTTGGACCAGTCTTAGTCCTTGGAAGAGCACTCTTTACAGGCGTGTTCGGAGTAGTCTCAAATTTTGAATTCAATTTAATAACTGAAAACCTTTTTATTTTGAGAGAAATTGTAGATATCTCTTTAAACAAGCAAAATACGGTAATAATTCCCATTTGTATCAGAATGATATACTGGGACCGACTTGATAGCTTACGGCGCATAAAAAATCTGAGCCAATAGAACAGTTATTATTACTATCCTAAAGTCTTAAATACACTGTTGCTGTTTAACCAAATAAAAATTTTAAACAATTTAGTTCTAAATAATAATATGTATTTAGTGAAGTTAATCTCTTAAACATACTTAATATTATTAAAAATCTATAATAAACTTGCCTAAATTAAAATAATTGTTATTAATAATAATTAGATAATAATAATAAAAAATAAAAGATAAACTATTAACATTCTCCTTAGATAGACAACACATCTCAATGTTTGTCTCTGGCTCTTACCTTGGAATCCCTTAAAATTGATGATATAATAATGATACATGAAGATACATGTTGTTTTGATGATGATAATGACGGCATTAGAGAGTTTGTAGTGAATAATATATTATTTACTTTTTATTATGTTTAATTTTCATTCATATTTCTGTTTAATCCTTTGTTGTTTTGTTTTATTATTTTTTTGGGGGGAGTCGTGGTAGTAAAGTGTGTGTTTGTGTGTGGCTGTTGTTTTCTATGTAATCATTTGCTCTGCTCTGTTATTATTTTTATTTTGATATTGAATTTTATCTTATAAAGAAACAAAAATTTAACTTCGAGAATCATTACTTTCACTAAAACTTTGCTCGCTTGATTCTCTTCTACTGCCCACAGGTTTTGGCTTGTATTCCGTAATGAATACGGTCACTGAATTGACGGTGACTTCTCTTGTTTGGGCCGTTGACCGATCAACATTTTTCAAGCGGGCTGGATATTTTTTATGCTTGTGTTTATCGTGGCCGGAGCTACTGTGGCGTGAGCCGGATGCGGATTTATTGCCGTTTGGCATGGCTCCAGATGCACCGGGTAATGTGGCAGCTTGTTGGGCGACGAGCGCTGAATTAAGGCGTGGTTTACGTGTAGAAGTACCTTTAAACAAAAATTGGTTTTATGTTAGTAACCTTCATTTAAAGATAAATAGAATATTTAATTAACTTTTTTTAACAAAAAGAAAATCATTCTTTTCCCATTTAAAACTGAATTTTGTTTAAAAAGATCGGACAACGAAATATTAAATTTACATGTTACTGAAATGTGTGTAAACAAGAGAAAAGTGTTATTGAATTTAGATTTTGGCCGGCAGGGGCAGCATTTTATAGATGCCCGTTAACACATTAGGTACTTATGTATTGGGCAATTTCAAATTGATTCCAATTTTGTGTTTATCCTGATATTTTAAATATACTATTGTATATGAAATCTACTTATTGAGTTCTACAAAAATCTTAAAGTTTTATTTGATTCTTTTTAGGTTACGAGATAGTTGCAATTAGAAATATAATGATAAATTTAATGAAACCACTTGAAGGTTTTTATTCAAAAGTTTTATACTTTTTAACAAACCTTTAAGGTTTAATTAATTAATAACATTTGAGTCTATTATTTTGCATAATAATTTCTTGTATAACAAGTTGTTTTACTAATTGGGCAAGCTAAAGATAAAATATTTAAAACGGACGAATGGTTTTCGAGATATCGCTCATCTTGATACTAATAAGTTTAATTTTATTATCGTGTTTAACCATATAATTTAGATCTAATAATTTTGGACTAAAACATATTTTTCTGGCGTTTTTTAGTAATTTGGTTTCTTTTACTCCACTAAAAACTTCGCGAACTGGCATAATAAACTGCTGTTTTGCTTTCTTGAAAACTTTTGTTATTTAAGATAGCAGCTATTAAATATAATACCTCAATATATAGCCAGTTATAGTTTCTGTACATAAGCATACAAATATAAAATTTTAAATTTCTTTATAATACAAAAAAATGTCCTTAGAAATAACATAAAAATACAACAACTTTTTACAACTCAAGGTTATTTCTTATTGTCACTTCTCTTTTGGTAACCTTCAAAAATACGACCGGCTTAAAATAGAATTTTCTCTACACATACACAAAATTTAAAGGATTTTTTAAACAAATTTACAAAAAATATCCTTATAGTCTTCTTTATAGTCTTTTTCTTCATTTGTAATAAAAAAATCTTCTACATTTCTTTTTCTCCACTTTCCTTCCTCTTCGACCCATTTGTATCTCACACTATCAGAAAACAAACAGCCAACAATAACGAAAATAGTTTGTTTGACCTGTTTTACATTGAAAACAAAACAAACCCGTAAAAGTGTGTTGACTAAGGAGAGAAAGGGGGGAAAACCGCACACATTACTTTTTAACATCTATAAATTTTCATTGGTTTAGTTGGATTGTTTTAGTTAATTTTCTTACCACCCCCAAATGCCGCCTTCTTTATCACTTTTGCTACAAAAATTTATAGATTGTCATTTATTATTTAGAAACATTATTGCATTAACCAAGAAGCGGTCACTCACCTTTACGTACGTCACACATGCGACATTTAAATGCCTCGGCCGAGTTCCTGTACGTACAAACACTGCAGTCCCAGAAATTTTCTTCAATGACTTTCGATTGTCGCTTTCTTCTTACTGGCGACTTCTTGTGATCCATAATAGTTTTTATCTTGCGTTGGAAAATATTTCTTGGCTGTCCTTTTTTGTGCGAGTCTCTTACACTGTGGCGTCGTCTTTCTTCCTACAACAACCGCAGTAGCAGCAGCAGTCCATGAAGACGACGACGACGTAAAAAATCTTTTTTCAGTGAACACAAATTTTTTTTCAACAATCAAAATTGTTTTTTCTTAATTTAATGTGGCGTATTTAGCCGCACCCTCTTTTTTTCACAATTTTAGCGTGCTTGACGCCTTCTAAATTGAACACTCCGAGTTATTATGCTAATATTTTGTATATTTAATTGTTTTTATTTGCAGTAAAATGAAAAAATCTATACAAATTTTCACTATTTTAGTAATTTTTTGTGTCGGAAAACGAAAGTTTTCCTTTTGCCAGTGCTGTTAATTCAGCGACGTTTAAAACAATTTAGCGGGAAAAAGTGTGTTTAGTATTATGCCGAAATTATAGCGATTTTTTAAAGTGAAAACTATAGAAATAAAAAAAGCGATTTTTTTATTCGACCTAACACAGAATTTTAAAAATAAAAAAAATACAAATTTTTATCTATAATGATATTTTTTAATTATATAATTGACTGATACATTGCTACCATTTATTTTTAATTTTTTTCTTTACAGTTTGTATTTGAAATTTGTATTCGCATTTGTTGGATAAGGAAAAGGCATTGTCATCATTGTTTGTTTAAACAAGAAAAAGTGCTGCCAAGTTATGATTGCATTCGTTCGTTGTTTTTTTTTAAATAAATGTAAATAAAATGCAATAAATTCTCAATAAATATAAAATTGTGATCTATATACAATCTGTGTGACTACGTTTCAGCTAATTAGTGCGGAAAATTAAAATTAATAAATAAAGGTTGTGCGATATATCGTAAAACAATTTTGTTAAAGAGTTTCTTCGTATATTAAATGTATCGAGAATTTCGATCCTTAGGTTGTTTGTTTTAAAAGCTAGGACATTTGTAACTCACGTTTATTACAGTCCTAAAAATGTAGCCACCTCTGAAAGATTTCTACATAAATTTAATGGACAATGTGAAATTTTTGGATGAACAGTGGATGTTATCATAAGGACCCTAATTACACGGTTGATACGCAATAGGAACGGCACGGTCTATGCAAGATGGGTAGACATTGATCTGTTGCTGCATCCTGACCCTAGTTGTGGCAGAATTACTCTTGTTTTCCGCACTTTTACATTTTTGTCAGCCTGATATTAGTAATATTTGACAGCGAGGACCTATATTTCTTCATAGATCGTTTATATTATTTTGGAAGCTTTACTTCATTAAGTGAATATGACCACACAGGACCAGCATATTTAACCCATAATCGCCCACTTGTTTTATTGGTAGCTAACAAGGGGTCGTTATGTATAGACCATGTGCTGCCGGCTAAGTCTCCGAGAACCTTGTTCCTATAGGTGATAGAAATATGGAACACTTTAGTTAACTGTGAAATATTTCTGTAAACGACTTACTTATAAATATACATATGTATACGTCCATTCAGATAGTCTAAAACCCACCTCTTCGTATTGGAGTGCCATGTAAAATTTAATGTTGTAATTGCATAGACATTTATTGTTTAAAGAAAAAATGGAAACAAATTAGATTTCCGCTAATTTTAAGTAATTTCCCAAATGTTATTGGTATTCTGAAACGAGATTTTCGCATAACCGGTATTAAGAGAAAGTTCCTTCATCGGGTCTAACTAAGGCTGTCTACACAGTTAAGACGATAATAACAGAAAAATATATTTTCAAATTCAAATTGTGATGGCGATTTTGATTTGTGTCAAGGTAAGAACATTTTTTATTTTTTAATACCTATAATTTCACATTTTTCAAATGTTTGTATTTTCTTAATTTTTTATTGGAAACAAAATAATATAAAACGATATTATAATAATATCGTTTTAAATAATGAAATATGATATCATAATCGCCCTTTAAAAGCAATACCGTTTTCGCTATCATATCGTTCTTTGGTTTATTGGGTAATAACAGAAAAATATATTTTCAAATTCAAATTGTGATGGCGATTTTGGTTTGTGTCAAGGTAAGAACATTTTTTATTTTTTTAATACCTATAATTTCACATTTGGTCTCCACGGTATAAAATCGGACCTTTTTAGTCCTTCCAAAAGATCTTAATATTTATTATCATGAAATAGTGCATAATTTGTTATTAATCATTGGTATGGAAGTTTTTGAAGAACTAGGTATAGGTAGGTATATACATTTAAAATTTTTCAACTTTTTTGAATTGGCACAAATATTCGTGATACGACATTTCTTTCGAAGACGCTTCATATGATATCACAGTTTCATATCATTCCTTTGAGTAAAAAATAAACATAATTGGAAATATTGATCCCAGAATGAACAATATTTTAATTTTCGGTGGCAACATCAGTACCTGTTTTTCTCCATATAAACGAGGCCAATCTAATGTATGTACAGTGAATCAATTAAGTAATTTGCCTATGTAAAATTTTATAAATTTTAAGAAAAAACTTTTTCTGAACAATTATTTTTAGCAAAATAAAGCAATTTGTTTGCTGTATTTTTTAAAGAATATCTTATATTTTATCTTTAATTTTCTACCATAAAAAGTAAAATCGTGTTATTAATTAACGAGATTTTTGATAAAATGTGAACGTCTTGTTAATTTTTAAGGTCAATAAAGTATTTTGCTTTTATAGGTTTTTTGTTAATTTTATTAATATTGCAGCATTATTTTATAAAATTTAATATTTTTATTACTCCTATATATTAGAATAACATTTTTTAGATATTTTAGTAGTGGAACGACTAAGTTTGGACATTTCTTAACCGATTTATTATCCTATATACCTATAAGAATTTTTCAATATTTGACTTAACATGAAATCTATCGTTTCTTTGATTTAATTTCGAAAATAATAATTAATTTTGAATTGGATACAAGATATATTAGGAAATCAATGGATTTGGACCTAGAAAAACATTTTAGTGGGGTATAAATCTATAGATTATAACAAAAATAATCTGACTTTTTGGTCATTTTGTATTGATAAACAAAAACTACATTGCGGAAACCCCATCTATTTGGGGAGTACTGTGTGAATTTTCTTAAGATTTGTATAATATTGATTCTTATTCAATAAAGCTAACACTAAGTACCATCCTAGCCACTCTAAGTATGGAGATAACACCGTATACCACTATAGAACTATTACATGCTAGAATCTTGATTTTCTACCTCATATTTTGAATGCTTTATTTTATGAATAAAATACAGTAGGCGTAGTTGGATTTGGATAGTTATTCTTGATTTGGGTTCTAACTATATATAAGTGTATGTATTAGCTGAAAAATATTGCTTTTGTGGATCTTAGTTGATGAGAACCGCCTCTATTTGTAAATATCTAAATTAAGTATTTTTCCCGTACCACACGATAGTTCACTTTATATTGTTTCCAAGCAACCTAAGGTCTGTTTAGAGGTCTAAACATAGTGTTCTTTTAAGTTCGTATATGGACTTTGGAGAAGATAAATGAGGACATCAATGGTTTTGCTTGGATACAAGTCGTTCTCCTTTGGCAGTTAAAGATTTTGAAAGACCACTCTGTGCGTTTTTTTTAATAATTCTTTGTGTTATTTCATCAATTTCTATATTTTATATTTTTTAATGGTTGATTAAACATCTCATAATTGAATTTCATTGATTTATACTTGTTCTAAAAATCTAAACTAATTTTTTATATTGGAATTGCCTCATTATTTCCCTTTAAACATTTTTAACGCAAATAACTACACAGTTTCACACAATAAGGATATGATTTTTGAAAATTACAATTGAAAAATACTTAACACGTGTCTTTTTAACAATAAAACAATAAATTCCAAAAAGCAATTTAAAAATAATAATCCCAACGAAATTAACTGGAAATTTCAATATGCAAAATACTTTATTGACGTGCAAATTCTGATGAAAAATAATAAAATGCAACAACAAATGCACCAAAATTTTTATTTTAATATTTTTTTCTTGGTTTTCCCATTCTACACAATCTCTATTTTCAATTGAAAAACATAAATTTACTTTTTACCTGTTTTTTTGAATTTTATTTATGAACAAAAAACAAAATTCTCTTTAAAAAGAAGTAGGCAAAAAACTTAATTTTTTATACCACCCATATAAAATTAAAAGAATGTATTGTAACTACAGCCTATGTTAAATGTAATATATCAGTATGTTTTAACAGTGTTATTTTCCAAAGCATACTTTAAGGCATTATTAAAATGTATTCAATATTAAGAAACGCTAAATTTAAATCAATCTACTTCTATATTAATACCCTACGTCACTATAGTGGCGAGAATTGTTGTTGTTGTAACAGATTGGCTGTGATTGGATGTTCTTCCCTGAAAATGTTAAATAAAAGTAATTATTATTGGAAGCTGGAGAAATTGTGCCACCTCAGTCGGTCTAAGGGGGTTAAGTCTGTGGGCCTATGGGTACAGTTAGAAAGATGCACTGTGTCATGAGTGCTTTAATGACAGGCAGGGCATCGGTTAAGGGTGCCTGGAGCAATTCGAACTTGGTAGCAGTTGAGAATACTGCTCCAACCGACTCTTAACTGTGCGAGTGTAGAACGAGTTTGTCTGTGTAATTGTCTCTCACTATCCGAAATCGCAGGTGGATGTTTCTGTGAGCGGCGACGATTTATTATCGACAATCTGTCGACGTCAGATGGGAAGACGTCCTGAATGTCTGTAATATAACGCCGAAAGTCTGACCGAATGTGTCGAGGGGGCGATCTTCCATCAAAATTTGATGGTCGGGATGGCTGATGACATGCAACCAGGAATTGTCTAGACAGCAACTCATTATGTTGCTTGGCAGACAGCGTCCTGGTATCCTCGTTTAAATGATCCACGTTTGTCATCTTGACATATCCGGTTGCGATTCGGGGTGCATTATTTTGGGATGTCTGCAATACTCACCATTGTGTGTCACTGAGATAAGGGATCCATATTGGGGCAGTATAATTAAGAAGAGAGCGACCAATTGCTTTATATGTCGCCGTGATTGTCTCCTTATCCATACCCCAAGAGGAGCCAGCAAGTGCTTCTAGGGCTTTATTTCGGGATTTCAACATGTCGTGGTACTATGAGATTCCCTGAAGCTATATGGAGAGGGTATTATGCGTTTGTGTTGATGTTTGTAACACTCAAACATATTATGCTATGTCTGTCCGTCTGTATGTCGATATTTTGGAAATGTTCATTTGATTTTTTTCCACAACTGATTTATTTTATTTTTACTAAATTACAAAATTCTTCTCAAGTTTTAACTTACTTGCCAGAATTAATCCATTAGTATTCCAATAGTTAAGGCAAAATTGTTGTTGTTATTTTTTTT